GGTCCCTGCAGGGTGGGCTGGTAGGAACATTGGAATTTTGCGCAATTTTATGACATTGTTACGTAAAATTGTGCAAATTGAGAGCGTCTTCCCACCTTTTTGCCCTCAAAATCGTTGAGGGTTCTTCGGACAAATTAACCTCTGTAGAGGAATGGAATGGTGAAATCCTTATTGACTGCATCTGCTCATTTGGAGCAATGTATCATAAAATCGTTAAGGGCTGGGCCGAAAAATGACAACAATTGCATTTTAAAAAAAGAATGACAACAATTGCATTTTAAAATTAGGAATTGTTTCCCGGTATACGGTAGTATGGGGCTTTTGAAAGGGGACGGACGGACGGACACATTAATCTATTGCAGGCTGGTACACTCAGTTTACAACTTCGTTCCTACCAGTAAAACCACAATCCTCAATATGTGATCTGACAGTCGTCTAATCATGTTTAGAGCTCATCCAAAATTCCTGGACACCAATATAATTGTAATATGTGATCCCATCAAACCCCTGTAGAGGACCAACATCTATCTGGGATTCATGCGGAGGAGCTCGGATCATCCCTAGACCTTGGTCAGGTGCTTGGCAATATTCTCCCCCATCCCATGACCCCCCAGAAGGTCAACATCACAGTGGCGCAGCTTGCTCAGCATAACGCCAAGTACAGTGCAAAATCAAAACTCTAATGGTTGCTTCGCGTGTCACGTGAGACTTGTTTAACAATCATCGGGCGCATGCAGCATGGAACCAATTAATTTGTTTTCCAATGGGGAGTCAATTGGTAAAGGCGGAAATACATAGTGCAGCTGTTAAAGACTGTCCGGGATGAGAATGATGGCAAGCAACTGAGAGTGGGAATGATTGCTTTTGAAACATGGCACATGATCATGAAAGCCAAGTATCAATCTGCTCAAGGAAGACCGTTAAAACATTATCAGTACGCACAATACTGCCGACTTTTATACGTGGATACGATGGACAATTAAAAAATATATGAAAAGTGTGCAAAGACGAATGGAGAGATGAACGTTTGAAATTACGTTGAAAGACAGACGAGCACGTGAACAGACGCAGTTTAGTGACATCGTTGAAGCTGTTTATGAAAGTCGACCTGGGCAGGAGACGTCGCACCAATACGCAGGAGGCACAGACCCAGGCCACCCCTCAATCCCAGTCTCCTTGTTGGGATAAACCTCGCCGCTCCCTCTCGGCGCTCCTCTTGGACGATCCCAAAGCATATTGGAGGGGTAGTGGAGGTGGGGATGCTTGAAGGGGTGTATGAGATGGGGTGGGTGGGGGGCGTAGTGGAGGTGAGGATGTAGAGGTTGGGATTTGTGGGTAGTAGTGGAGGTTGGCATGGGTAAGGGGGTGGTGGAGATGGGAATGATTTTTTATCCATCAGCACTGCCGCGTGAATGAGCCCCGCCTGAGCACGTGCCTCCAGAGCCACGCATTGAGGGGCTCCATGGGGTCATTAAGCACCGTGGCACACGCACCGGGATGGGCCCCACTCACTCCTCGTGCTCATTGGCCGCGCGTTTATGGGGCACGTGGCCCCAATCATCCGACTCCCCCACACCCCGCACCTCGCTGGGTATAAAGCGGAGGTGTGGCGAGCAGGTGTGAGGGATATAGACTTGTTTTGTTCAAGCATCAGCGCTCGCAACATTACCAAAAGATGCAGTCATCGGCGAGTCTCATGCTGGTGGGCGCGGTGCTGATGGCGTTGGGAGGCTGTGAGTTCTCGCGCCACTGCCAGGCACCGATTTGGGTCGATGTGGGCTCGAAGCTTTGATGGTGTTAGGGACCCATTTTGGTTATTTTACTTCGTCCCCTTTTGCTGTTAACCACCAACCGATGCCGACTCCATTACCATTGTTCTACAGTGGCTACTTGGGTTCATTTTGTGCCGTTGCGCCTACCAACAACGAATGCGGTCGTACTAGTTCGTGATTCCATAGGCTTCGATTTACCCCCACCCTCGCCCATTCCCACCCCGATCCCAGGGACCACGAGGGGCTGCGTGGACGCTGCGACGATTCGCGGCGACCCGGCAGCGTGGCGGCAGGCGGCCGAATCCGGGGAGATCTCGAAACTGAACCTTGCTGTGAGTAATGCATCGTGTGACAACCGGTTCGTAAACCTTGTGGTGTGGAACTGGTGCATCTGCCGGTCTCGTTGGTCTATTGAAAACGATAAATCTTGAGTGCAAGCGACGCTTTCTGCCACCACTGGCCTCAATGCGCATCTGACATGCCACGGGTGAGTGTTGTGGGAAGCTGCGTCTTGTCTGCTGATGGCCCGCGTCCTGTCACCTGACCCTATGCCAGGTCCGGCACCACTTTCACAACGCAGGTGCCGACTTTCTAACTGGAGACGAAACTGAGGAACCGGCCACGGTGGAGCCCAAGACGGTGGCGCCGGCCACGGAGGAGCCCAAGACGCTGGCGCCGGCCACGGAGGAGCCCAAGACGCTGGCGCCGGCCACGGAGGAGCCCAAGACGCTGGCGCCGGCCACGGAGGAGCCCAAGACGCTGGCGCCGGCCACGGAGGAGCCCAAGACGCTGGCGCCGGCCACGGAGGAGCCCAAGACGCTGGCGCCGGCCACGGAGGAGCCCAAGACGCTGGCGCCGGCCACGGAGGAGCCCAAGACGCTGGCGCCGGCCACGGAGGAGCCCAAGACGCTGGCGCCGGCCACGGAGGAGCCCAAGACGCTGGCGCCGGCCACGGAGGAGCCCAAGACGCTGGCGCCGGCCACGGAGGAGCCCAAGACGCTGGCGCCGGCCACGGAGGAGCCCAAGACGCTGGCGCCGGCCACGGAGGAGCCCAAGACGCTGGCGCCGGCCACGAAGGAGCCCAAGACGCTGGCGTCGGCCACGGAGGAGGCCAAGACGCTGGCGCCGGCCACGGAGGAGCCCAAGTAACGCCATTGCAGCTTTCCTGACGCTGGCGGCTGTTGGAGGCTCCTGCTTCGGGTCGAACGTGGGGCTAAAGATCCCTTTTGGAGCCGCTTCAGCCGCTCGTTAATTCTGACGCTCTGGGCATCGCTCGTCCCGCTCCTTTTTCCCAATTGCTCAATAAATATGATCTTGACTTGATGCTGTGTCCCGGTTCCTGGCTAAACTGCGTGAGCGTGACACCACCCCCGCCCTCCAACGTGCAGGGTTGTATTGTGATCTGTGAAGCTGTTGCCAAGCCTTGAGCTGTTCTATCCACCGAGGGACTGGAGGCTTTTCCAATGAGGTCCTTGGTTTCATGATGCCGCAATGTTTCCTTGGGTGCGAGGAGCTTGGTAGCCTTCACACCATGGGGGACATGGCCATTGCTCATGCGAGGGTAATGGTGGTCGATTGACACGTGCTCTAGGAGCCGAGGTGGAACGTCCCCGTTTGACCTGGGGGTTTAATTGGCGACACTGCTGTGGCCCTTGACCAGGCACTGCGTGTGTAACGGCCTGCGCACGGTTGGCTGCATCGGTCGGTGTAGACCCTCCGTGCGGGGGACGTCCATTGAGCAACGTGACCAAAGAACCACAGCAAGAGCTGACTATGTCGTAAACTTACCCCCAAGAGACACCTGGAGCTATTCGTGACTCTTCGAACTGGATAGAGCCCCCACTACAGGCGGTCAGACACGAGCGTCCATCGGGTGGGAAAGGATGGTCTGACCATGCTTTCCCACCTGATGATGGACGCTTGTGTTGCGCCCGACACGTGACTTTACCGAAAGAACCAGAGTATGGATTCCTGCAGTCACAAAAGCTTAAAATCAAGATTGGCGTTTAATGTTTAGGGGCCATCCATTGAGTACGTACGCATGGAGGGGAGGGGGTGTTAACCCAAATGCGTACGCTTGCGTATGGGGGGTCTACTGACAATATATGTACGCATTGGAAACAAAGGGGGGGGGGGGTGAAGCCTCGATAATAATTTGTCTACATTGGCCTTAAAATTCGTTAGTCTGACGGTGGACTGTTTGCTTAAACACGTTAATATTATTAATCGTTGGTCGTTTCTGCGTGGATTAAATATCGGCCGTTCTATATGATTCTGGGGGGGGGGGTGTAAAAAGTACACGTGTGTACAGGGAGGGGGGGGGTCAAGTTTTTGACAGATTTTTTTGCGTGCCTACTAAATGGATGGCCGGGACAGCTGTTGTGAAGTCTTCCTTCCGCGGAGAATCCTGACTGTCCCTGGCGTATGCATGAAGCCGCCGGTAAAGAGGCCAGCCAGCTCTGCACCAAACGCCACTGCACTCAGGGTGGCTGTTTCGTCTGCAAGATGGGATTGAGTGAATATTATTTTACTTTCCTCAATTTGCACGAAGTGTTTGGTCGAGCTACAAAAGGGGCACACGCCGCTAGATTTGCCTATCTGAGGTTGTGGCTTTCGGTGAACATGAAGCAGTTTTTGGAGGGTTTCGGAACTTGAGGATTTATTTTGAAGTGAATTTTGGTCCTTTCTGCGCAGTGTTTAATACATGTTGGCACTTTGGCCTCCTTTACTGCACATCTTAATAAGAGCTTTAAAGCTCTTCGGATTCCTCCAGTGTAAATATTCTGATTTGAGCTTAATTATATTTTGAACCGTTCTGACTTGCGTTTGTAATACCGTGGAAATAAGGTCCGTGATCACAACGCCTCGTCAGGTTTTCAAGTATTGTTTCAGAAGGTAATTGTCACGTTGGGATTTGGCCAAGTGATACTGAGATTTGCATGCGAGAGGAGATTGAAGAGCATGGGGGCATAACGCTCAAAGGTTTGCACAGATGGCTACAATAATAATTTGCCGTGCTTCCATGTACAATGCCTGGTCTAGTGCATAGCATTTTCTACGTTGTCGAATGTCAAATCGTGCGGTCGTTTTTCCCCACCACGTTAGCCAAGCGAACGCATTACGGTAAACCGCCAGAGCGCAAACGTGGCAACAAATACGGAGCACCGTGTTGTCCAACGGAATCGCCTTTAAATTGGACTCCCAACGTCAAGGGGTTTTACCTCTAGACCTGGCAACACCACCAGGGCGCCCCCTTACTCATCCACTGCGGGAAATCCAACCCCGCAGCCAGCTGCAACCCCCTCCGCCGGCTCATCTATCCGGGACCCCCCCCCCCACTCGCCATCTCCCCGTTCGCCTCCTCGGGGACCCCCCCACTCCCCGACCACTCCGCCGGGTCCTCCTCTGACCACGACCGTGCGCGCGTTCACTCTTTCCCGGGGCCGTCCGCGTCTCCTCCCGGCCGCTTTTGCGACCCCCGGGGGGGCCCTCGATGGGCCCCGCGCCGAGGAGCCACGGCCCTTTCTGCTAGAGGCGCTGCTGGGGAGGAGGAGGAGGAGGAGCAGGGTGGCGGCGAGGAGGAGGAGGAGGGGAGAGCAGTAGCAGGAAGAGGCGGCGGCGGCGGCGGCGTCGGCGGGCCCGGCATGACGAGTCTGCGGCGCTCCGTGCTCGCGTGGACGCGGCCGGCGCGCCGCATGTACTGCCTCCTGCTGCTCGCCGTGTGCGCGGCCTGGCTCTGCGCGCTGCTCTACAAGTCGTGCTTCGCCGAGAGGATGGTGGCCAGGGGCACACGCCTCAAGCGCGTCTTCGCTCCCAACGAAAGGCCCGTCGTCGGTAAGGGCCCTCCACGCGGTGCCCCGGGAGAATCTTACTGGGGAGCGCCACCCGCCCCCCCCAGCCACCCGACCCCCAGAGGGCCCTCTGTGTGGCGGCGGCGGCGGTGAGGGGGGTCTAGAGACCGTCCTTGACATCGTGTGAACGTTTCTCAGTTGCTTGCTCAGCAGGTCTGACCATTCGAGGCTTGGCTTTGGTCGGCCTCCGGAGCACCGAGTTCTGTCAGTGACCCGGTAACCGTGTTGGCATCATGTTTTAAGTTTAGGGGTCAACGTATGTGTCAACATGACCCAACGGGGTGCAGTGGTCAACGCACTGTGCACCGATTCTGGCGACCAGAGTTCGATTTTCCAGCCCAGGCCAACCGCGGTGGTGATGGCCGGAACCGGTTCTGGGCCTTGCCTCGGTCGACTCCACATTCAGCAGAAGCCTGCCAACAACACTTGGCTCTCCTGTCTGAATGCTTAAATAGTTCTGTGCGTGTGTGTCGCGCGCGCTCGTGTGTGACCGTGCAGGTGTCTTGGCCCAGCAAACGCACGGCAACCTGGCCCGTCACGGCAGCACCTACATTGCTGCATCGTACATCAAGTACCTGGAGGCTGCCGGAGCCAGGGTGGCTCCGATCAGGTGAGAGGGCGGCACGCGACCTTGCACGAGGTCACTGCTTATAGGTCACCAGCCACGTCTTCCAAAACCACCCTGGTGACTGCAGTCGTCGATGAGGAACAGAGAGTGAGAGAGAGAGGCGACATTACAGATATAGTCCCAAACGAGATGATTGTCTTCTCGTGCACATCGGTGGAACGAGGGCCAGAGAGGGCATTCGAGTAAACGTGGCTTGATAATGTTAGAAGATCGTCTGCAGCTGGAATCGAACTCGGGAGAAGAGGATAGGATGTAGCCGTCACAGAACCGGAGATGGGCGCAGCTTGAAGTTGGCCATGCTTGCGTGGGGTGCTAACACGCACCGGCCAGTCCGTGTCGGAGTCATTGAGCCAAATAGTCATACAACCAAAGTTGATCTCGCTAAGTCTCGAGACTCAAGTGCAGCAGTGTCCGGTGTGAGGATGCTTGGATAATTCCATCTTTGTGTTACGTGGTTTGCATTTGTGTGTGTGTGCGCGAGAGAGGGAACTGGAGTGGTTGAGAAAATCTCTTTGCTTTCTGAGGGGGTGACTCTCAAAGACACTCGCGTTTTGCGTGGCAGAGGCACTGTGCCAAGTGATCTCCGCTCTGTGTTTATTTCCTCAGGGTGAATCTCACCAACGCCGAGTATGAGAAAGTATTTTATTCCATCAATGGGTGAGTACGGCTCGCTTATTACATTGGTTTAATGCTCGCTATGGAAATGAATCGTTCAGAGGCGCGTTTTCCCAAGTTCTTATAACCGTGCTCATTTCGAAAAAAACGTGTTAACTCTCTTCGTTTGTTATTTGAACCTTATGGCAGGACCCCGGGGCCTCGAATAAACGGAAATCAAAATCGTAATTATTTTTTTTATTTTTGGCGACTCCTTCCCACCGCGCACATAAATGCCGCGACCCACCTGGCGCGGATCGTTCTGTTGTCATGTCATGTCCAAACGCAGCGAGGACGAATGCACAGAAGAAACAAAACTTTGAAACTTTGATTAGCGCATAGCGTGGAGCTCGTCGAGAGGAATATATTGCCGTATCATTCGCCTTCAACAGACATAAAATGACGTCACAACGCAGTTTATGCGAGAGCCGGGGGCTTATGTGACCCCCAGGGTTTCGCCATAAGGTTCATTTGTTGCTGACTTGGCAATTCAGGACTTTGGGTCTGTGCTCAGTAACTTATCAACTGCTGATTATTTTTGTCAAAATCCCGACGGCTTACAAATTCCAAATAAAAATATTAAACCTTACATCATTTTTTCCCAACGTCATCACGAACATGTCATGACATATCGACCACAAGTGAACATTCTCGTGCCATGATGCCATGGCAGGGCAACGTGGCGCCGTTGGTGCCAGATGCCCTCGGGGGGGGGGGCGGGGGGCGGGGAGGGAGTGTCAGCGCTCCCGAGTTTCACGAGTGATCCATGAGCGCTCAGGCTGGCGCTTTGGCTGGTCGTCCGTCCTTCCTGCTGGCCTGGCTGCCCTTGCTCGCCGGCTACCTTACAGTTTAGCCGTGGGGGAGTGATGATGTGCGCGGGGGTTTTGGCGCAGGTTGCTGTTGCCGGGAGGTGGCGCGGACCTGCAGATATCGGGCTACGCCCACGCAGCCCGCATCCTCTACAAGCTCGCCATCAAGGTGCCGGGAGTCTATCGTCGGCGTCGTGCGTGTCTGCCGGGCGTGTAACCCATTACATCGAACTCAATTGAATATACCAGCACGATACGTGCGTTGAATTGTGCACTGGAGAAGCGTTTTCTTTACGATATTTTGCGAATTATGTGCGAATGTTACGTGAAGGCTAATGTTGCGCATGAGACGGACATTACAGACGAGACAAGACTGCAGATGAGATGGTATAGTTACAAATTGAGGTGATTAACATGCCTCGTGTACACGTGTATGTGTGAGTACGTATTGGTGTGCGTGTGTATTGGTGTATCTGTGAGTATCGGCGTGTCTGTGTGAGTATCAGTGCATGTGTGCTAGTGCTTGCGTAGCGATGGTGCGTAAACATCGGCACTGTAGACACAGACAGCTGGGTGTGGTGGGAGCCACCCTATTGCCACGTGTGCAGTACTTGCCTTGATAGGTGCCCATAGGCTACATTGGAGGTTTTTGTCATGGCTATTGGATAAAAAAAAATTCTTGTCGTGCATTTCTGAGCAGCAGAGTGGTTCACGCCAATGCCCGCTCACCTCTGGTTTCATTCCTGGCTGTGATGCACAACACCAGCTACAGTACTTGGTTTCTGTTTGGTTGAGCCGTGTAGGTATGGCATCAGTATTTAACTGCAACCTGCCTGCACCCGACAGAGCCAACAAATACAGTTATCACGTCGTGGGGAAATTTGCAAATCGATTTGGTTCATCAGCATAACCAGAGAAATGTTGAAAGGCAAGCAAAATTGTGGCAATTTTTTTTCGACGTTGCACTAGAGATTACGTCCAGTGTCATTAGGCGTCGCCAAGAGCTCGGCTGTCACGGCGGTGGAGGGTTTTGGTTAAAGACTGGCATTGCACCTCCACAATGTCACTGAAACAGAAACTAATAATGAACCATGACATCGCGAAAGCATGCGTACGTAATGCAGCAGTTGTCAATTGTCCGTGCGTGCTAGTGGCTCATTGACAAGATGGGGAGTTGTGACACTGCTCTTGCACAACAACAATAACAGTAGCGGCACATTGGCATCGCTTGTTATCACGTTCCTGTTTTCACGCGTCCGCGCGTACTCGCATAACACAGCACAGTGCGGACGTCCGAACGACCTTTCTAAATAAAGCAATCTGCATTCGTGCTGCATCAGCAATATTGGACGTCGCCCCACCCATCCCCTCCACTACGTTCAGGACTCACTCTAAACCACAAAATTTTCGGAAGGATGCCAGTCGCCGAAAACCAGTGACAAGAGAACCCCCCCCCCCATACTTCTTGACCTGTCGTTTACTGTGCAGGTTTACTCATTCAGAAACTCTCCATGAGTATTGAATGTTGGTGTGGCACACTATCAAATTAGAGAGCTGGCAGAAGGGATTGCAGTTAAGCAATCGCACGTTCCAGGGTTGTGCCCTGGAAATTCTGGCAGATTTGAATGCATTTAACAAAAGAACAATTCTTAATTGGCATATAAACACTTCTCTCTTTGTAGCCCTTAGGTCCAATGCCACGAATGTTCTTTTTTAAATCAGATTTTTTATTAAAGTGTGCCAATGTCTCCTTCACCAACATTGGAGCAAGACAATGACTCGAGATGTGAATGTGTCCTGTTGAGTGGCAACAACACCTTAAAGAGTCAGACATCTCTACCGCTCAGTCGGACATCTCTACCATTGAGTCCAGTTTTTTTTCCATTTGATATCAGAGCACCTTGTTGGTGTTTTCGTGAAACCAGGCCAACGACCGCGGGGACTACTTCCCGGTGTGGGGCACGTGCCTGGGCTTCGAGCAGCTCACGGTGCTCACCAGCGGCATCAACGTGCTCACCGACACCAAGAGCACGCGCTACGTCGCCCTGCCACTTAAGTTCACTCCAGGTGGGCCCACGCTGCATATGGTATGAGGGCAGGCGTTTGTGTGGGCACGAGTAACTCCAGTGACCGCACTGAACAGGGCCCCGCAGCTTCTGTGTGCGAGCGCTCTTTCCAATAACATCTGGTGATCAAGCAGCATTTCTTAACAGACCTAGAAGGTTGAAAGCAATCCAGACTTTGCATAGTGTAATGACTCTCAGACAACTTCTGTCTTTCTTCTTTATTTATTATGGCGCCTCACGCAGATAACGTACTCTCATATCCTGCAGCACTTAGCTATGACTAGCATACAGTACTTAGAACAACAATAGATACTTGGGCTAGGATAACAACAGATAATTGAATTTTGAGTGAAAGCTTTCGTGACTGCAGTGATTCATATTTTTGGTTCTTTCGGTAAAGTCACGTTGAAGGGAAACAATAAAATAATAAAATATATATAAAACAATAAAATTCTCACGACGTTTCGACTGCAACACAAGCAGTCATCATCAGGTGTGAAAACCAACGGCAAGAACATTTTAAATGTTTTTTTTCCATTTGAAATGTTCTTGCCGTTGGTTTTCACACCTGATGATGACTGCTTGTGTTGCAATCGAAATGTAGTGAGAATTTTATTGTTTTATATATATTTTATTATTTTATTGTTTCCCTTCAACGTGACTTTACCAAAAGAACCAAGAATATATATAACAGATACTTGAGCTAGGATAACAATAGATACTTGGGCTAGGATAGATACTTGAGCTAGGATAACAACAGATACTTGGGCTAGGACAGCACCCAAGCAACGACCGCATGGAGACAGCGGCGGCGTAGAGACAATCCATCCCGATCCCAGGGCAGCCTCGAGCTCTCTCAGCCTCCGCCTGATATTCCCCCCAGCGTGGCCTCCCCCTGCCCCCGGCCACGCCTTCTTTCCCGAACTGTCTCGGCCAATCCTGAACTATTATCCCTCGTGACCACCTGGCCACGCACTGTCCCTATCCCCTCATTATCTCCACCCACGCACCGTCTCTCTCTTTCCGCACTGTCCCTACACATGTTTAAATGCTGATTGACAATATAAAGTCTGGAAAGCCAGTAGGCTGCTGGACTAAAATAATTGTTTTATTTATATGTGGGGAACTGAAGACATGGAATAGAATTCTGCATATATATGCGCTACTCCTACTGACAGCAAAGTCATTGTTAGCATCCATGCCGGACATAGCAGTGGGAAGGTGCTGGGTTGGCGCCGAGCCAAGGGTATGCTGGTACCACATGGGGTGATACACTGTGGGCCGCTTGGCGTCCATACAGTTTTCAAGACACTGGATATTCCGAAGATGTTTTGTGTCACAATTTTCTTCTGAGATAATATTCTCTATCAAATGCACCTCGGTTCTCTCCTTTCGTGACCTTTCATCAGCAAGCTATCATAGATATTTGTGATCTATAGATAAATGCTCCAAAACTCACAGTGTTGGCCACCCTGGGTCGCACTGAAAAGTGATTTTTGGACCAGTGGCTCAAGGACTGCTATCGTCATTCATGCCACATGCCAGATGTCCCTGTTCCTCCCGCGTTCCGGTGACAGTGCGTATTGTGCGTTATTGCGTTGTGGGACCAGGTTTTGAAGAGAGCCGCATGTTTCGGAACATTATGCCGGAGGTCGTGCGGGCGATGGCTGAGGAACCCATCTCGGCGAACGTGCACTACAAGAGCCTCTCGGTCAAGGTCGGCGCCACGATCGGGACACTGCAGTAATATGAAGTTGTGCATTACGGGACGGGGAAGGGATTGCTGCTCGGAGAAGGTTGGCAGACAAAGGTTGAAGAGAAGGCTAGGAACAGGGAGATGGAATAGCACCTTGCTCTATCCGCTCCGCACGTCAAACCGGTATTGCGTTACCTCTGGCACCGGTGTACCAAAATAAACAAGTCAAAATATGAAGGGCTGTTGGCCAGCAGTTGTCATCCAGAGGTTCAGAGGGTGGATGCTTAGATGCGGAGGCCACTAGGCCAGAGAGCTGTATCTCAGTCTGTTAGCAGGAAGGCCCAAGTTGGCAACGAAGGCAACGCAACGACACGATTACGGTGAACTTGCGTGGCTCGTGTTTTACAGAACTTCACTGCGAATGAGAAGTTGCGGAACTTCTACTGGGTTCTGTCAACCAACGTGGACGAGAAAGGCCTGCAGTTCATCTCCACCATGGAGGGTGAGTATGGGCTGGCGTTCGTCGCGCTCACTGCTACGAGCGCGACCGCTCAACGCACGGCGAGCACTAGAGGACAGCGGCCTCTTTAAATCTGAGACATTTCAACTGCATTAGCATTTTCGGTAAAAAATAAGACTTTGTGATGCTATGATAAGTAGACCGATTACAGTCGGTGAAGGTTCCTCCAAATGTCTCCCTTTCTTTTACTGCCTTTGGAATCTCCCCGGATGAACTGAGCCAGCGTGCTTCTACATCCACAGTGGGAGAAGATTGTATTTGGTAAATATTGGTATGCGTAATTCCATATGGATATATGTTCATTAAATAGTATTTAAATATATAAACTGCCTCTCGAGAATGTATTTATTCACGCTGGTGGGGCTCTGGTTATCACAACTCAAATACCTCCAAGGACAGATGCATTATGCAAAGCATTACAGAATCCAAGCGTATGCACAGCTTTCCTTCCTCGTTTTCTTAGACTGAATGAGACGGCGAGAGGGTGCATTTTCTGGTTGCACTGCTTGTTGCTTGGTTCCACGTTACTGCTCACACTGTGAGAGCCTTTTTCACGCGATATCAACTAGACCCACGTGTCAGCTAACGAGCAAGACCGCGAATACCTACGCAGACGTGCAGACAGCAAGAGCGGGCGTGCATGCGTGTGTGGGGAGCGGTAGGGTAGTGGTTAAAGCACTGCACTACGAACCTGGCGACCCAAGTTCAAGTACCGCCCATGGCCAACACCAGCGACGATTATCTGAACCGGTCCTGGGGCTTCCTTCAATCGACTCTGCCTCAAATTAGTACCTGGTACTGTATGTAAACATCACCACCGGGGAGACCAAGATGGCCGGGTGTTGTGCTGGCCACCCCACCTCCTCGTGTACCGTGCCGTCCTTCATATGCACTCGCTAACAGCACTTGTCCAAAAGGTTTTTTAATACTATATGCGGGGGGTCTTTGTCTTTGTGCGCCTGTGGCAGCGTACGAATACCCGTTCTACGGGGTGCAGTGGCACCCGGAGAAGAACCAGTTTGAGTGGAAGCGAGGAAAGTCCTTCCCACACTCGCGCTCCGCCGTGCATGTGGCGTTCCACCTCGCCGACTTCTTCGTGACGGAAGGTAGCACTGCTGCGCCTGGTGCGGAGGAGGAGGAGCCCAGTGATTTGCCGGGCGGAGGTGGCCACACACGGCTGTAATCCACCACTGTGGGGGCAAGGGTTGGTGGATCACGTAAATACCATGAAGCTCTGCATTGGCGTCAAAGTCGCCATACCCTAGCTTACCGGGAGAAGTTGGTACACCAATTAGATTACTCTACATCTTGATTTAAAGCTTTTGTGACTGCAGGGATTCATATTCTTGGTTCTTTCGGTAAAGTCACGTAGAAGGGAAACAATAAAATAATACAAATATAAAACAATAAAAGTTTCACGACGTTTCGACTGCAACACAAGCAATCATCATCAGGTGTGAGAACCACCGCAAGAAAATTTGAAAAAAGTGGCGTTTTTTTTACGTTAGCACCACAGAGAGCGATTTGGCAGTTATTCAGATGGACGAGTCCATCTATGTTTGGAAAAGAGGAGGGGGGAGACGAAAATAATGGATGCGGTCTGAAAGCCACTAAGCGTGAACAATCAATTAAGACCCGAAATGGTTTATCAAATCCTTCCAATGATTGCTAAGCCAGAATCCATCTTCTCGGTTGAAATTGTCTCTGTGTTTGTCTATGTGGATAGCCTCATGAACAAATCTTTCATGGTAGCCAGATGGCTTGCAAATAACCTCTGTCTTGGAGAAGTCAATGTCATGTGAGCCTACTGAATTTATAACAGTGATCTGCCACGGCCGAGGTGTTGATCCTACCGTGTTTTAGGTCTGCTTTGTGTTCACGAATGCGGTCCGAGACATGTTGTTTGGTTTCTCCAATGTAACTACTACCACAGAGGCAACTTAGTTTGTAGACGCCAGGGTACTGTATATCCGGAATCACATCTTTTACAGATGGAACCAGATCACGGATTTTATGTAATGTGTTGAATCGGACCTGGATCTTGTGTTTCTTCAAGATTTTGGAGATCTTTTTTGTGATCTCCGCAATGTAGGGTAAAGTGATGGTTTTGAAAGGCTCCTCAAGAGGGTCCTTCTTCATGGTTGGAGTTATAGCTTTGCGGATTGTGTAGTCGGAGTAATCATTAGCCTTAAGAGCTTGGTGTGCGTGCTTGAGTTCACTGGCTATGTGTTCCTGGTCGGATATGCATTGGGCTCTATGGTGCAGAGTCTTGATGAGGGAATTCTTCTGGGATGGATGGTGGTGGGAATCCGGTTTCAGGTAAGCATCCGTGTGGGTAGCTTTCCTGTAGACAGAGTGGCTCATTGAACCATCAGGTCTCTTTTTTATTAGACGTCCAAAAAAGTAGCTTGCCATCTTTTTCGACTTCCATGGTAAATTTGATGGCTGGGTGTATGGAATTGATGTGGTCGAGGAATTGGTCTAGAGCAGGCCGGCCATGTGGCCAGATGACAAAAGTGTCATCCACGTACCTCTTCCATAAGGTTGGGCGCAGAGTGGCAGTCTGGATGGAGTTTCAAATTTCTCCATGAAAATGTTGACTACAACCGGAGATAGGGGGGAGCCCATTGGGGTGCCCTCAGTTTGTTTGTAGAAAGTTCCATTCCAAGTGAAGTATGTATTGGTTAAGCAGTGTCTCACCAGGGGGGGTACATCTGTGTTTAGTCCTTGATGAACCAAGTCTTCAATGATTGCGATAGTGTCAGGTACAGGAACTTTGGTGAATAAGGAAACTACATCAAAACTGACAAGCAGGTCGTCTGGGGACAGGGAAATACCCGTGATTGTCGATACCAAGGGAGTAGAATTTTGTACCGCAGAGGTGGTTTTTCCAGTGAAAGGCCGCAGGATTTCAGACAGAAAACGAGCCAGTTTGTCGGTCGGGGAGTTGATAGTAGAGACGATGGGACGAAGGGGTATTTTTGGTAAGCCGTATAATCTTGGTGGCCTGGCAGCAGAAGGTTTCAACGAGAACTGTTTGGTTTGATCAATTAATGCAGTTGAATCAGAAATGATTTTGTTGGTTTGTATGACGAGGCTGTTGGTGGGATCTCTTTTTATTTTTGTATAGCTGCCATCGTTGAGTAATTCTTGAATTTTGTTGTTATATTCTATTTTATCCATGATGACAGTGGCATTGCCCTTGTCGGCTGAGAGGATGACAATGTCATCCCTCTTTTTTAATTTATATAATTCAAAACGCTCATCTTTGCTGAGGTTGCTAGCTGGCATCTTAGCGTTTTTGAGGGTTGCGATTTCAGATCTTGCTACGTCTGCAGCGATGTGACCCAGGCCCTTGAGAGCCACGTCTACTTGGGCAATGATATCATTAACTGGTATGTGTGACTGCATAGTTTAGCCCTTTAGCTAAAACGGATTTCAGACCATCGGAAATAGAACTGTTACTGCGATTAATTACGACCTTGTTAACGTCTAGCTTTTTGGTGTGTGGGTCCGGTCTTTTGTTGGAGAGGTTAAATTTGGAAATCAGGTTGTCCTTACATTTGGTCGACAGTGGCAGCTGAAGAGGCAGTCATATTGTCTACATGTTCCCAATCCGATGTGGACATTGTTTCCATCAATGATGTGTGATTTGTAGAGTGTCTTACTCTTTGTAGTCACAAAAGCTTCAAATCTAGAATGTAGAGTGTCTTGTCTAACTGATCTAGTTCGGTGCTTTTAAGTCTGATTTTCTCTGAGATAAGCGCTAGGCTAGGTCTGGAAATAATTTGTTTCGCATCAGAAGAAGTTACAGCAGCAGCGGTCAGTGTAAATGCGATTCGTATTACCGCAGAGTCGCGGCATCTCTTCAGAAAGGTGAGAGACTCGATCGGCTGAGCCTTCTTATCCCGGAGTTTGTTGAAGGATCTCAAAGTTATGTGGAAACCCTCCCCATAGAGGCGGTTAAATTTTGATTTAAAGCTTTTGTGACTGCAGGGATTCATATTATTGGTTCTTTCGGTAAAGTCACGTAGAAGGGAAACAATAAAATAATAAAAATATAAAACAATAAAATTCTCCGTGGTGCTAACGTAAAAAAACGCCAATTTTTTCAAATTTTCTTGCTGTGGTTTTCACACCTGATGATGATTGCTTGTGTTGCAGTCGAAACGTCGTGACAATTTTATTGTTTTATATTTTTATTTTATTGTTACTCTACATCTCTTTTCATCTGTACGGAGATAATGTTGGTCCCCCCCTCATATGCGTGGGTATTCTCTGGGTCCTCCTGTTTTCTCCCACGTATATTAATTGGTTAAAAACATTTTAACTTGTACTAATGTTGGTAGCGCCAACCGTTGGTAGCACCGGCTCCACGCCGCGTGGCTGCTGTTGCTGCTTCTCCCGCTCGTCTGCGGTTGCTCCTCCTGGCGCCTCCGAGCTGTGCTGTCTCTTTGGGCGCGAGCGAACACTGCACGCATGCCAAGTCCAAAATACTTTAATCGTTCATCGTCATGCCAACGTTGTGATGCGCGTAACCAAATGTGTGCGTGTGTGCACACGCGCGTCCCTCAGCTCGCAAGAACTTGCACGCGTTCGCGAACGAGGCGGAAGAGAATGCTGCCCTCATCTACCACCACGCCGCCGTGTACACCAGCGAGGAGTCGTCGTTCGAGCAGGCGTACTTCTTCAGCTGAGCGCGGCATTGGAACCACGCAGCCTACGCCCTCCAGCCTGCCTGGACACTCGCCCTCACCACCTCCTACTCACCCCTACACATACACTCCAGCATAAGGCTTGTAACGACTCCCCCACCCCCTAATAAGGTACTGTACATCTACACACACCAAAAACTCAATACTCACCCTCACTTGCTCGCACAATATAAGCCTGAACATCGACACTCACCATCCCCCATTAAACCACAACTATCCACTCCGTTATGAAGCTGGACACTCCCACACACCACTAATCACTGGCTACGGACCACTGACCACAACGAAGAACGCACTCTCTCCTCGCTTTGCTTGGGAGAAACCCAGACTGATAGCCTTGGGGGCCATCCATAAATGACGTCACGCACCTAGTGGGGGGGGGGGGGGGGTCAGACATTTGTGACGAGGGGGGGGGGGTTGAAAAATGTGACGTCACATCAAAATGCGCAACTTTAAATAAATATAGACTTCACGTTCCACTTAATTAGACTTTTAAATAAATGTTTTCTCCTACAACATCAGAGTGCAGCGCCACATTAAATACGCACTACAATGACAATAGTTTAAAGCGATTTGAAGCATGTTTTATTTTTTTTTGGGGGGGGGGGCAGAGCTTTGTGACGTCATATTTGCGGGGGGTTCTGACTTTTTGTGACGCCGTGTGACAAGGGTGGGGGGGGGGTCAAAAATCGTCCAAAATCGCGTGACGTTATGGACGGCCCCTTGGCTCCCACCACTGGCTCACACCACTCGCTCGCACCGCTGGCTCCCACCACTCGCTTGCACCGCTGGCTCCCACCACTCGCTCACACCGCTGGCTCACACCGCTGGCTCACACCACTGGCTCGCACCGCTGGCTCATACCACTCGCTCGCACCACTGGCTCACACCACTCGCTCGCACCGCTGGCTCACACCACTCGCTCGCACCGCTGGCTCCCACCACTCGCTCGCACCGCTGGCTCACACCGCTGGCTCACACCGCTGGCTCACACCACTGGCTCACACCACTCGCTCGCACCGCTGGCTCCCACCACTCGCTCACACTGCTGGCTCACACCACTGGCTCACACCACTGGCTCGCACCGCTGGCTCACACCGCTGGCTCGCACCACTGGCTCGCACCGCTGGCTCACACCACTGGCTCGCACCGCTGGCTCACACCACTGGCTCGCACCACTGGCTCGCACCACTGGCTCACACCACTGGCTCGCACCGCTGGCTCACACCGCTGGCTCGCACCACTGGCTCGCACCGCTGGCTCACACCACTGGCTCGCACCACTGGCTCACACCACTGGCTCGCACCGCTGGCTCACACCACTCGCTCGCACCGCTGGCTCCCACCACTCGCTCGCACCGCTGGCTCACACCACTGGCTCGCACCGCTGGCTCACACCACTCGCTCGCACCGCTGGCTCCCACCACTCGCTCACACTGCTGGCTCACACCACTGGCTCACACCACTGGCTCGCACCGCTGGCTCGCACCGCTGGCTCACACCGCTGGCTCGCACCACTCGCACGCTCTGCACCTGCGCAGTCCCTGTACTGTCTACGTGTACTAAACCACTGAATCCGACCAGAACAAATCCTGTCCCTACCCAGTGTTATGGGCCCATTCTACCCTCGCCCATCCTTACTCAGCAACTCTCCCTATACAACAACAACAGCAGCAGCCGCCATCCGCTACTAAGTGGCAGTGAAATCACCACCACACGATAGCAAAACCACAGAGTCAGCCCCTCCCATCCGTTCCTGCTGACAAGAGGCGTGCGTTTGTGTGGCGCAGTGTGCAGATGGGGCCCAATGAGCAGTGGATCAACCAGATTGTACATTCAGGCCGACTTGGCCGTATTTATGAATTATTTAATTGGAGTTCGTTATCGCTCAAGTTGGCATGCCGTGATATTATAAGGGCGCGTGAATGTACATCGTCCTATGGGTCATGTGACACGCGCAGCCGGGAGTCGCGACTTTTCAGTCGCACGGGGATTCTTGGGCGCACGGGGATTCTTGGGCGCCCGGCCCTGCTTGAATTTAAACCCGTGAATTGGCACCATGGGGCCAAGGTGTATGTACAGTATTTATAAAACATTGCACTCGCTGTGTAGTAGCGTAGGGCCACCCGCAACCGGTGGTGACGAAGTCAACAATGGACCTTTTAGTCTTGGGCTAGTCGATGGCAACCAGTATAGTCTGTGGATTTAAAATAAAAAATGTGGACCAAATGAAAGCCACATAACTAAAACTTGACCAGAATTCCAGAGGTCGTCGACGAGACTAAAATGCTGACTAAACGTCGCGGAGGTCTCCGTGTGGTCACCGTGTAGTGGCCGCGTGCTCGCGTTCTCGCGGTGGCCGCGTGGTCGTGCTTGCGCTGTGGTCATGAAGTGCATAGCTGTGATGAGTGTAGTTGTGTTTGCGCTAAGGCCGAGCAGTTCCAGTTGACCCAGCTCCGAGCTCCGTCAAAGCTTGGCTCCGCATTCAGCTTTTAACGTCCGTCCGTTCCGTGATTTGTCCTGAAAATTGAAATGCAAGTCTTTCCCAAAGCCTGAACAATGGGACTCCTCGGGCATAGCATAGTGTTCGTTATGAAGGAGCCAGGGGACTTGGGGTTCGCATCCACGATGTTATATAGATATATAACTTATTGCTGCTTCTGCGATGCTCGTGAATAAAAAAGAACCCCAGTGAATGACTTTTTCTGTTGTGGCGTTGCACTTGTGCGTGCTTGCTGAAGGTGAAAGAGAAGTGCCTGTCTGGGCACGTTTGTTAAATCCTCACCCCCACCACGCTTCTGTCCAGCAGGATAAATTCTTTCACCACGGTTCATCGGCAAGTCGCGTGTGGGTACTGCCACCTCTTCCAAGACGCCTGGCCATTGTGGAACGGGTGGGCCAGACACCTAGAGGGGCTTTCTACGGCTCCCTGTAGCGGAGGCCCTCAGCCAGCAGTTGCGTGAGCCAGCAATTACAGGGCCGCACCGTTACAAATTACCGATGCTTAACTGAATCATTGCTGCAAGACGATTCTTGATCAACTTTAATTATATCATTCTCTCGTGAGCGTAACATTTTATGACGCACGCATTGCCTTGAATACTGCATTGCCGTAATAAAGACGATAATATTGGCAGGTAAATGTTGCAAAAGAGCACGTGGCAGTGGCTACATATCGCGGTGCTGGTGGTAACAGCAGCGGAGACCCTCTCGGATTGTCGTCCCGGTTCTTATTCGTCCAGAAGGCCAAGCCTCCATCCCAGTCCCTGTAACCCCCGTGGGGTCTGCCTCTCGTGAAAACCAATATTTTCTATTCATATTCAATTTTAAGTCACTTCGTACCGCATACAACCCGATGGTTTATAATCACAGACACGCCATGGTTTATAATCACGGACAAGCCATGGTTTAAAGCAGTCTTTCTTAATTCCATTGCTTGGGGCGCCACGGTACTGCTGTAAGATATGGAATTGAGAAAGACTGCTTTAAACCGTGGTCAAACTTCAGACAGAGGAGGCGCGAGACCCTACTGCTGAGACTCCAACCGAGTTCAGTCACTTCGTTTACAAAGTCAGCTTTAGCCGTCATCGCGATTAAGAGCCAGGCCAAACAAGGATCCAACTTAAGCCCTCCGAGCTGCCCTGGGGGCCAGGAGCTACAGCCACCCGTCAGCCTCAAAGTCAGCCCTCAGGGCTGCCTCCTCGTGCGGCTCCAGCGGCTGGAGCGGCCAGCGGCAGGGGCCCCCGTAGAAGCCAAACCACTCCAAGGAGCGCTTCAGGCCGGCCACGCCAAAGCGCTTGGTCACCTGTGTGGGCGGCAGGGGCGACAACGCCGCGCCGACTCAGTGATGCGAATCAACTCTTACGCCCGTGGGACATGCGTCTCATCATATGCAACAGTTTGAGTCCGATGAGTTTCCGAGTTTTACCTCGTGTTGTTGGCACTGCCGCCTGTGGGCATGGTCACTTTTTCAACTCTTTTTGAGCCGGTTGGCCCAAACAACAAAACGGCCCCATACGTTCAGCTCTATCGAGCTGGTGCCTTAGGCAAGGCTGAGAGCGTTGTACGTGCAGTGTGGTGGTTAGATGACATGAATGCAAGGCGTCGTGGGAGTCGCGCCTTGCCGCCGTTTGTGCGCAGCATGCCTCAGTGTGTCGTTGAACCGACGTGGCCAGAGTGCGCATCAGCCGAAGAAAGTTCCTTCAGAGAGAGGAGCACGTGGGAGTGGAGACAGATCAGGGAAGAAGAGGCGCAGAACAGAACTCTTGGAGGCAGCAGTGACACGTCGAGGCAACGAGAGCAGGAGCAGAAGACCCAGTGACCGAAGTTCAAAAAGAAGACGACGTTATCTCTACGACGCCCAGGATTCGCGCGGCCTCACCGCGGCGTTGGGCCGAATGAGACGCAGCTGCAGCTCCCGCGCCTCCTCGTGTCGGCCCTCCCTGGAGAGGCGCGCCAGCTCGCACACCTCGGCGCCCAGCACGTTCGCCAGCGCGCACACCCCGCCCACCGCCCCTGTCGGCGGCACACGCAGAGGGTTTAGAACACCCGCTCACCCGTGAGTAGACACCCCGGGTCCGGCACACCCAGGGCATACCAGACACACCCAGGCTACACCACACATACCCAGAGCTCACCACGCCCACCACGACTCCTGCCAACTTGCACAGGTTCAGGACCCAGGGCACGTGCACTAACTTTACCGGCTACTCTTTGTTCAAGCAGGATAAGGCGACAAATATATTTAATCTTAACGCAGCGTTTTACAACTTATAAGATATTGCGCGTTCTGTGGGTGCATGATAAAAAAAAAAATGTTCACATGCGTTTTGCATATTTCTGACAATCTGAACGGATTATTTTAGTAATGCTGTTGGTATTATTTAATTATCGAATACCAACAACTACTGTGGCATTGGTAAGTGCAAAATTCCCAATGCTGGTGAGTCCCTGTGATGGTGAGGCCCGGTGCTGGTGAGGCCTGAAACCCTGTCATGGTGAGGCCCGGTGCTGGTGAGGCTGTACCACTGGCGATGGCTGGGTAGAGGAAGCTCGCGGACCCGGCCAGCACCTGGAAGTCTTGCCCGCGCGTCAGATGCACGATCTGCGCCATCTTGGTGACCTGGAGAACAGCGTTAATATAATAAATGTACAGCCCTGCTTTTGCTTGCTCAAGCCCCTGTTGGTGGAAGGGCCAGTACCGAAGGAATTTTGGATTACTCGACCATGCAGGCCAGACGTCTCAGACGACGTGGGAGTACCCACATTTTACCCCATCATACGGGACCTGCCAATCGACTCGCTGTGCTGTACCCATTACCCTGCTGGGTGGACAGAGGCGGACAATT